CCACCTTGCATGCATGGGCTGAAATGCAAGCTTCTCATTCAAAGACCAATCTTGCCAACAACTTCAAAGTACTATAACTTCTTCGTTCTAAGTCTGTTTCCAACGAACTTCATATCCACGAAAAGGTGTGAGAAATCCTATGCTCTCAGATCCACCCAAACCCTACAACCTTCCGAGTAAGACTCGAGACCCATAAAAGACCGAATCGCCAGATTACACTTATACCCTTGGTCTTCGAAGACACAATTGAACACTTTCAAAATCGGGTGTTACAGGTGGTGAAGGAGGTAGTTGGGCTGAATGAGTGGACTAATAAGCAGGCCTTAAGTGTTAGGTGAACACGTGAGGGAGTTGGTCATAATCAAGAAAGGAGTATGTAGTTGTTTGAGTGGGTTCGTTTAGAGGGAAAAAGTTCTCATTGAACACCACATGGTGAGAAAGGATTATTTTTCATGTGAGTGGATTAAGGCACCTGTATCCATGGAAATCTTATGGGTATCCAAGAAAAACACATTGGGTGGAGTGTCAACTGAGTTTATTAGGTTAAATAGTTGATAGGTTGGAATAACATGTACAACCAAAAACATGTAGGTGAGTGTAAGTTGGATGACGACGGTAAAGGGGGAAGGTTGGTGTTATAAAATGTAATCTTTTAGAAGGTAAAAAAATGTAAATATGCACTAGTATGAAGTGCTTCCACCTAAAAATATGGTGGAAATGTGAATGGATTAGGAGAGCACGGATCATGTTGTTAAGCCTACTAATCATCCTCTTGGCCTTGCCATTTTGAGAGGAAGTGTGAGGGAAAGAGAAACGGACCACAAGGCCGGTATTGTAGGAGTAAGTTTTGAAATTATTGTTATCAAATTCACCCCCATGATCACAATGAAAAGCCTTTATATTTCGGTTAAATTGAGTGTTTATAAGACGATGAAATTTGACAAAATTGGAGAAAGTCTTAGATTTGAATTTAAGGGGATAAATCCATACGAATTAGGTGTGATTATCTATCAAAACCATGTAGTATTTATACCCGGAGTTGCAAGTAACCGGAGACGTCCAAAGGTCACAATGGATGATGTCAAAAGGAGAATACATGACAAAATTTGACTCATAAAATGGTAAACGCTTGCTATTCAAAAGTTGAAAAGAATGACATAAAGATAAAGTTTGGTTTTTATGGCTATCAATAAGCAAATTACGAATAAGAAAATCTAAGACTGGAGCTCTGAGGTGGCCAAGACGTTGGTGCCATTTTGTTGGTGCGAAAGTGGTGAGAAGGACTTGTTGCGGTAGTGTGAATGGATAAAGGTCCCTCGTGCTATTGTGGCGAAAAAGAGGTTTGCCAGTCTTGAGATCATTCAAAGTAAAACCAAACGGATCAAATTCAAGAGAAATATTATTGTCACGTGTAAATTTTCGAACTAATAAGAGATTCTTAACAGTTTTGGGAGAATATTGAATATTGTTCAAATGATAGTTTTTGGTGGGTATGTGATGATAGACATGACCGGGCCCTTTAATTGGTAAAACTTGTTGATTTCCAACAAAAATGGTGTTAAAAAAAGATGATGGTAAGGGGTGTTGAATGGTACCTGAATTGTTGGTAATATGAGAAGAAGCAAATGAATCCATGTACCAAGGTTGCCCCGTGTGATTCAATTACATATTTTGAAAAGCTGCTCCATGATCAGTGGGGCTAAGTGCATTATAGGTTGTCTGTTGTTCAACGGTCTCGTTGGGTTGCTGATAAGAGACATGGGCAGTAGGCTGGGTTATTGGTGGAAGACTTGGTGTAGGAGAACTAGGCCAAGCCGTAGGTATAGGCAGGTTGGAGGTGACCAATAACCCCACATCGGAGGTCCAATGTCTGTCGGCTGTCATGATGCATGCCCTCCGCCACCAGAGTTGTCGTTTCTTCTGATGCGTCCATGTCCTCTTCTCCGTCAACGATGGGGCTATGATTGATCGTTTCCTCGCTAACCGTAATTGTTGTGGCCATAATTCCTGTATTGTTGTTGATTGGAAAGAGGTCGAATGTGGGAATTATCGGCTATCGGTGCTACCATTACTAATTAAGAGGGTTGTCTAGCAGATTATATTTGTTGTTCCAATTGAAGCATGCCCCAAGCCTGATCCCATGTGGGAGAACTTTTATTTATAAAGGCAACAACCATGTCATACTCTTGTGGCAATCCTCTGATGAGTTGTAAAACCAAACGAGATTCACTCACTGGATTGTCGACCTCTATAAGTTGTTCACCTAGTTCTTATAGTTTTTAATAATACTCATCCATGGATAAGCATACAGACAACTTGAGATTAGTAAACTCATGTTCGAGGGCTGCCGCACGCGAGCCCTTACTGTTGGTGAACATGTTTTGAAGCTTGACCCATGCGTTTCGAGCAGTGGTATCGTTTTCAAGAACCTGAACAAGCAAGTCATCGGAGAGGGTGCCATAGATCCAGTGAAGGAATATGGCATCAATCTTGGTCCATGAATCGTATTCTGATGAGTTTTTTGCAAGAGGTGGTGTGTCTTCAATATGATCTAGAACATCATATCCTTTTGCATGTAACTTAAAAAGCTTAACCCATGAAGAATAGGTTACCTTCGATCCGTCAAGAACCTTAACTTTATGTTGTATATTAGTCACGGTATAAACCGGGTGAAGAGATGGAGTCTTGGAATCGGATATCTTAGCGTCTCCCATGAAGAAGAAAGAGCAAAAAAAGGGTTGTTGCGATTAAAGGGAAGGTAATTTGGATTTGCTTATGCAACTCTGATTACCATGAAAGCATGTATAATTGGATGAATTACCCCTGTTCGTATTGAATATAAGAGATCCCTATAAATAGGGTGTACAAGTTGGTTTACAAGGGCCTATAAAGTAGAATGAGATATACATCAATATAATACAAATATCTTCCTAAAATACATATGGCTAATAATCATAATATTATATCTTTTTCCCATATTTGGTATGTATTCTCATCGGTCCCGAATTAAAGATGTATTCATATATGTTCTATATATGGGATGCATTCTTATTAGTCATAGATTCGTGATGTACCGTATTTGTCCCATATTGGCGATGTATTCTTATCGGCCATGTATTGGAGGTGTATTCATATATGCCCCGTATTAGGGATGTATTCTTATATGTCCCGAATTAAGTATGTATTCATATTTGTCTCGGAGTAGGGTATTCTTATCGTTTCTGAATTGGGTATGTATTAATATTTGTCACGTATTTGGCAAGTATTCTTATTGGTCCCTGATTATGGATGTTTCCATATTTGTCCCATATTGAGGATATATTCCTATACTAGGTGTGAGACCTATGTATTAAATGGGTTTAATTAAAAAAATTAAATATAAAATTTTAACAATTTGAAAAGTTTGAATTATAAGAAAAATATGAAAATTTTGAATTATTAAAATTAATGAGACTTTAATGTATTGAATACATTACATATATAGGTTTTTCTAATAAATACTTTACATATATATTACATTACACATTAAATGTGGAATTTTAATTTAATAAATGAAAAATACAATAAAATGACAATTGGAAAATAGAAAATTTAAAAATTCTAGAAAATGCCATGTGTCCAAATGAATGAGAAGAGGACATGTGGCAAAAAAACCTTCATTTATTATAGGAGATATCCGAATTTGAGATGTATTCTTATTGGTCCTATACCAAGGATTTATGTTGGTTCTAATAAGTGTGTACATATATTAATATTGTATAAGGATGTGTTCGTATTGGTTCGGTTGGAGACAGTTGCATATAACTTGCTTGAAACACGATCAGAAAGAAGTTATTCAAGTTCACTAAGTACCATATGATTGGTGTAGTTATGTTGATGTTTTAATTTAGATATACTAAAATGTTTGTCAGTCGGTATATATGAACTTATCCATGTTATTCACTAAGCTCCTTGTAACTTGTCATTATTTGTGTTACTGAGTTTAGGTAGTTGCACAAGTAAACAATTAGATGACTTTGAGATGATGTAGAATTACTAAAATATAGATGCTTATTTTATTTGACATTGTAGCTATGTAACACACATTGGGGCAATTATATAGTCTCATTGATCTCATTAGAAGCCTTCCGTGCTCTAACCGTGTCACTGTCGGGATGTTTAAACCGCTAAGAAATTTGAGAAAACTGTTTTGGAGGAGAAAATGAAAGAAGACATATATTTCAGTATTAATATGTTCTCGTTTACATTCTTTATATAAAAATTTGCAATAATGTTGGTTGAGATGATATGTTAAGATTAAATTAAAAAAATAGGTAGAGTTGTTGGATATTATTTAATGTGATAATAGGTGGACATTTATGAGATGGTACCCAAGTTGGTAGGTAGACATTAGTATATAACTAATAATAATAATAATAATAATAATAATAATAATAATAATAATATTATTATTATTATTATTATTATTATTATATATATATAAACAAATTACATTAAAATACCGAATAAAACAAACCATAACACTAAATAAAAACATCATATTAAATAAAAAATGACATACTAAAACGCTACACACTAGCCATCACCTTCGGTCTACGATTCGGGATAATCTAATGGATTTTTTTTTCTCTTTTGTTTCTAATTCATCTTCGGGAAAATGACGTATAGGCCCTTTAATGTTTCTAGGGTTGACTCATTTAGCCACTTAACTTATTTTGTGGCTTAATAAGGGAATGAAGTATTTGTTACCTAACGATATAGTCCCTTTTACCTATTGTAGCCGGTTAACATTGCCACATAAACCTAGCCTAACACGTAAGCGATGACATGGCAAGAATTTAAAGCGTCGAACAACCGCAACGACGTCGTATTGTAGGCGAATCGTAAGGAGCAAGGATCGACTGTTCAAGTGCCTCCATATAAAATCAAGACTTCCTTGACCTATAACGGCACATCTGCAAACTTCATTACCCCAATATCGTCTCTAAGTTTACTCCAAAATGGCTTCGATCGGACATGCAGAACACAACTGGTCTCCAAACTACCGCCGGCACATGGATGAGAATCATTTGAATGGCGTAACCAACGAAGACATGGCGATCAATCTACTGCAAACCCAGCTGGAACTGTCTCTTATACAGGAGGACTTCCAAGACCAGTTGCGTGAGCTCCGTCGGATAGTTGATCAAGACTTGGATGCCATGAACCGTGAGGTCGATGACGTTCGTGCTGGTCAGTTGGATATCTAAAATGTCGTTGTTGATCTTAAAAATCATTTCGTTTCTCTGCAAGGAGCATATGTGAAAATGGTCTTCAAGGACAACAAACGTAAGAAGCTGATGTATTGTGTTGGGATTGTTAGTGTTGTTTCTGCGTCTGTGGTGACGTATTTGGTGTTTAAGTAAAAAAAATGTTGTGTAGGTTGAAGCATTTTCAGTCCTGGGTTTGTGTTTTGGTGTGTTATTTATGTTGTTTAGTGTCAATATTAGTAGTAGATTTTGTGTGGGTTATTGGTATTAGTTTGTGATGTTTGTGTGTAGATTTGGTGGTGGTGTTACCTGGGCTGCTGATGATCATCGTTTTTTGATGAAGTTTTTTGTGTATGATCTCTGTAATAGGTTATGGAATAGCAGAAAGTGATGTAAACAAACCCATGGCTAAAATGTGTTTTAATATGTTATTATTAAAACAAAATTATCTTACACCCGTATCTGTATGTGTGCATGAAAGAAAGAAACATTTGAGTATTATATATGTTTCATCGATTGGGACGGGACCACAAACCAAAGCAAAATGAATATACCTTCTTTATGTGCATAGGCAAGGACCACAAATTGTGCAATTTGGGAAAAGGAAAAAAAATACCTTTGCACACGATTGAAGCATATTTGCTTTTCTGCAAACCTTTTTTGGAAAAAAAAAAAAAAAAGAAAAAAAAAAAAAAGGGAATCAAGTTTTCTAAAGATGGCCTTTTCATGTTGAATGGATTAAGTCACAAGTACCCTGTTTTTTACAACGACTTAATTATCCCTGCATTAAAAATGGTCAATTTACTTTGTAATGACTTAATTACCCCCACATCCAAATGGTAAATTTAATTTCTAATGACTAAAATATCCCCACATCCAAAATGGTAAATTTAATTTCTAATGACTCAATTACCCCCACATCCAAAAATGGTCAATATAATTTGTAATAACTAAAATGCTCCCACATCCAAAAATAGTAAATTTAATTTCTAATGATTAAAATGTCCCCACATCTAAAATGGTAAATTTAAATTGTAATAACTCAAATGCCCTCACATCATAAATGGTCAATTTACTTTGTAATGGCTAAAATACCCATAATACCCATAAATATTCATGGCACGGGACAAGAATAACATACCATATAACAACTTACCACAAAAAAAAAAAAAAAAAAAAAAAAAAAAAAAAAAAAAAAAAACATAGTACACCATAAAAGAACATACAAAGATCATTTGTTTATTGCAACACACATTCACTACAAATAACAAACAATTATTTAATCCAACTCCATGGCCGTTGCAACATTGCTACCTTCACCTCCCACATTTTTTGCAAGCTTCACTTTAATGATTCGTTATGAATTCTTTCGCATTTTAGGCGATTTAGCATGCTTAACTCGAGCAGTGACATTCACCCCTTCATCCCATTCATTGACTCCCACCATTCGCTCTTCATCTCCAGGCCTATCCAAAGCATCAATAGCATCTACCATTACCGTGATATCTCCATTTTCACGGCAAAAAAAAACCGATTTTGTTTATGCTTTATAAAAATCCGAGTATCTCTTTTAATAAAAATGTTGCGGATTTTGTTCCCAGTAAAACATGATAAATACGTTATCAAAGAATTTCCGAAAAAAAGTCTTTTTAATTCGTTTTAAAACATTTGGGATGTCATCGTCAATACAGAAACATAAGCATAAACAGAACTTACGTTCATTATCACTAGTGATCTATATCTCATTAATCTCTCAGTGTAAGGTAACTTCACATCATCACCTATGATATAAATTAACCGAGTGGGTCAGGTTGGGAAACTTGGTGAGTACATAGGGTTTTCAACCCATAATAATATAATTATTATGTTTAAACACCAAACAATCAACCCAATTACTCACCCCCATTATCGTCGTTACTCTTAAGGATCTACCCTAAGAATCAACTATTCCTCGTTCATTAATTCCTAAGGATCATCCTAAGGAATCATCACGAAGTCTATCGTTGCCACGGTTTACACAACAGGCACTAAGTCTGCATAGTCACCAGGGGTTAGGCATTAAGTCTACATGATCGCCAAGGTTTACACAACGAGCACTAAGTCTACATAGTCGCTAGGGTTTAGGCATCAAGTATGCATGATCGCCAAGGTTTAGGCACCAAGTCTGCATGATCACCAAGGTTTAGGCATCAAGTCTGCATGATCACCAAGGTTTAGGCACCAAGTCTGCATGGACGCCAGGGTTTAGAGTACACCGGGTGAACACATCGTTCACAACACCTACAGGTTGCAAGCTTGCTAGTGTTCCACTGGACTGTCTAGAATAGTCTGTGGTTGTCATCCGTACTCTGCTAAATGACGGGCCATCATTTGGAAAAAGGCTTCTCACATCATCCACCTCTCATCCTCACCTCACGGTCTACTTCACCTCTCAACTCATCATCCAACTCATACTCCATCTATTACCTCTACCCATGTTTTACCCCAACATTATCGTAGATATCTAATACATATATAGTTTAAATCATTTAAAACATGTCTAAAATCGTTCATCCAACATAGACAACAAGTATTCAGATAATATGCACACGTAGCACGTAATTTGTATAAAATACTTCATATCTATGTGTAAGATGAAAGTAACTATGCACTCAAGTGAGAAGGTGGTGACTCGGTACTTGGACAGCGCTTCGTTTACTTTAAAATAATTTTCTTCGACGAAACCTAGTATTATTACCACTAGATTTTAGTCTAATATTTATCGTGACTAATTATTAGTCTTACTATTATTATTATATAAGCGTTTAAACAATATTTTCCAACCACTATGTACAGACAGGGGCCAGACATAAAACACCGGAGGGCAGGACCATTTTGGCGTATAACACATCTAAAATCCAACAACCCTATGCGGCCCTTTAAACCAGATTCCCCGTAGCGCGAGTAGTTAAAAAGATATTATAACGACACTTATATAAGTCATAATAATCGCTCAAATATTTATTATAAGTTCATAAAAACAATATTAATTTTAAATATAAGCTATATTAAAATAGGGTAAGCATAACTTACCTACAAGGGAATTTTAGCTAGGAGTCAGGCTCTGCAGGGGCAGAACTTCGTCGCTGGATTTTTCTAAGAAAGATCTGTGCAGCGCTTCAGCGCTCACCTTACTATATTAAAAACTACAGAAGAGAAGTCGAATCACGAGGGACCGAAATGCTCGAGGGACAAGGAGAGAAAGACTCTTGAATCAAGAGAATGGTGCAAGAAATATGAGAGCTCAAGGCTCTTATTTATACTAGTTGAATTTTCAAAAACTACCCTCCATAATTACTTAATGACCTTTTAGTTATATAAACAACTAAACACCTCTCTATAATACTATTTTAAATGGATTTAATGATATTTGTACTAAACTAATGTCGAAAGAACTCAACATTACTCTTATAATGACCGCATCGTCGATACCTTTCTAATGATATATATATATATATATATATATATATATATATATATATATATATATATATGTATATATATGTGTACATATATATGATTTATACTTTATTTTAATACGTAAATATGCTATTATAATTTGTAACTCGTTCATACAAACTCCGTTTTTGATGTTCTTTATATCCACACGTAGGTGGAGACATACTCTACAACTTTCGTTTAGACTCCGTCGGCTAATTTTGACTTTATTTTTAAAGTTATATTTTTAACAGACCGGGACAGGATTGGTCCGTTAAAATCTCATAACTTCTTCATCCGTTGTCCATTTTCGTCCGTCTTTTTATCGTTACGCTACTAATAACGAGATCTTCGATTCGCATTTAGGTTGTGTCGGCTAAAAGCTGCTCGATCTAATACTCGAACTTCGGGTTGTACACCGCTAAGCCGAAACTTCGAAAAATCATAACTTCCTCATCCGAAGTCAGATTTGGGCGTTCTTTTTATGGATATTCTCAGGTTAACATACTCTTCGACTTTCATTTAGATTACTAAGGCTAAAAGAAGCTCTATCATAAATTCACTATTTACGTCTTCACGGTGCCGTGACGGTTCTGTCGCTAAACTTCGACAGGTCATAACTTCTTCATTATTACTCAGATTTCGACGCTCTTTATATGTACGGAACCCTTGAGACATATTCTACAACTTGGTTAAGATTATTTATTCTAAATAATCTTTTTGTCGACAAGTCATTTTTGACCCCTGTTATCTCTAAATTGACTAGCCCGGATCTACGGACGTTATAATTACCTCATCATCCCCTACTCCTGTGGCAACGTTTACAGAATCTTATGTAGGTATAGTTTTTTGTTTCTTTGTTCCATTTTGTTTGTATGTCCCTACACTTTTACTTCAAGTAGCCTTGTTATGTCCTTTCTCCTTGCATATGCTACAAGAAACTTTCTTCCCTGCCTTGGAGACGGTATATTTTCTCATCCATTCAGAAACATCTCTTCTTCTCTTTATGGTTAGCCTACCTGGCATACTTCTTTTCAATGGAGGCAAAGGGGGTATCAATTCAGTATAAGGCCACATATTTTTTCCATTCATCCCATGGATTGGCTGTTTGTAAGTATTATGGTATAATGCAGCCAAGTACATTGGATCTACATATGGACCACCAAGTGTCAAATTTAAGTAGGCTAAGGTGGCACTGATTGTATGCAGCCATATCCATTAAGTTGTCATAGTCTACAGCTGCATTCCTTTTTTTCAACATCCACAGTAAACGCCTCTTCCATTTTCCTTGCCTCAAACTTCATCCCCCCACAAGAAATGACAAGCCAATGCCTACATATATAAAAGAAAACCGCAAATATCATGAGATGTGAAGAGTAAAGTACTAATGTAATTGGATAAATGTACAAACCTTTTGCTCATTTTGGAGCATATTCAACCGCATTCTGATATTTGGACAAACAGAATAACCATTCCATCCTTGTCTGGTTAGTTTCATAGTCACCATCCTTTGCATCACATATATACAAATGTCCTCTGACATGCTTATTATTGGTTTCTTCCAGACATCCAAAATCACACTATTAAAACTCTCCGAAAAACCATTCTCTACTGACTCACAAGAATTATGAACTCTGAAAAAAGCCAAAGACAAAGTCTTTGGATCTCTATCCATAAGATGCACAACTGCTTTCGGATTTAATTTTCCAATCTCTTTCATAACTACATTAAATTGTGCTTCAGTTGTCGCCTTGCTCGCTTTCAAAAACAGATTTTCAAACTTGGATCCACTAAATCTCTTTCTAAAATTCGCATAGATATGTCTAGCACACTATCTATGTTCAGCTGCTGGAAATACTTCTTTTACTGCCTCAATCAAACCCTACATAAGTCACATTAATGTTTGAAATTAGA